TAGATCAAAACCCCGCACAACTTTGGCACGCTAGATTAGGTCATGTCTCTTTAAGAAGGATGAACGATTTTGTCAGTGAAGGATTGTTCTCTTTGGAGGACGTGAAATCACTACAAACTTGTGAATCCTGCCTTAAAGGGAAAATGACCAAGTCACCCTACAAAGGGAAAATGGAACGAGCCGAGGGTCTTTTGGATTTGATCCATACAGACGTATGTGGTCCACTAAGTGTTAGTGCGAAGGGTGGATATAACTACTTCGCTACCTTTACCGACGATTATTCTAGGTATGGGTATGTGTACTTGATGAAGTACAAGTCTGAAACATTTGAAAAGTTCAAAGATTTTAGACACGAAGTGGAAAAGCAACTCGGACGAAGTATTAAGAAGCTACGATCCGATCGTGATGGAGAATACTTGAGCATCGAGTTCATTGACTATCTAAAAGAGAATGGGATACAATCCCAATGGACTCCACCGGGAACTCCTCAACTTAATGGAGTCTCCGAACGTCGGAATCGAACCTTATTGGATATGGTTCGATCAATGATGGGGTTCACAAACTTACCGGCATACTTGTGGGGTCATGCACTTCGTACTGCCGCGTATTTGCTGAATAGAGTTAACACCAAAGCAGTTAAATCCACACCTTATGAACTTTGGCATTCCCGGAAACCCAACTACAAACATATTAGGATATGGGGTTGTCCCGCTTATGTGAAGCGATTAGTGGGAGATAAGTTGGATAGTAAATCCGACTTGTGCTACTTTGGGGGGTATCCCGAAGACTCGATGGGATACGAGTTCTACTATGTCAAAGAAGCAAAGACGTTTGTTTCGAGAAATGCCACCTTTTTGGAAAGGGAGTTTCTATCCGATAGAAAGGGCAGCATGATAGAACTTGAAGTAGTTCAAGAACCACAAAGTGAAGTTCAAACGCAAGAACATGTAATCGAACCAATACAACAAACCACTGATATACCTCCTGAACCTACAGTACGTAGATCCGAAAGAGTTCGGAAAATGCCGGATAGGTTATTCCTCCCCGAGAATGATGAAGATCATGTTGATCTTGGACGAGATCCAAGAACATACAATGAGGCCGTATCGGATGCGGACATGGGACATTGGCTAACTGCCATGAAATCCGAAATGTACTCCATGTACTCCAACAAGGTATGGACCTTGGTAGATCCACCCAAAGGAATTGTTCCTATAGGCTGCAAGTGGATCTATAAGAAGAAAATTGGAGTTGATGGAAAGGTATCGACCTATAAAGCTAGATTGGTAGCAAAATGATACACTCAAAGGCAAGGTGTTGACTATAAGGAAACCTTTTCGCCAGTCGCGATGCTGAAGTCCATTAGGATTTTGCTGGCCATAGCTGCGTGGTACGACTACGAGATATGGCAAATGGATGTGAAGACCGCCTTCCTTAATGGAGATATTGAGGAAGAAATTTACATGGCGCAGCCGGAAGGCTTCATATCTTCTGGAAGTGAGCAAAAGGTTTGCAAGCTCCAGCGATCCATTTATGGATTGAAGCAAGCATCCCGTAGTTGGAACATTAGGTTCGACTCAACTATCAAAGAGTTTGATTTTGAGAAGAATCCGGAGGAACCTTGTGTATACAAGAAGGTTAGTGGGAGGGCAGTGATATTTTTAGTGCTTTACGTTGATGACATTCTACTCATTGGGAATGACGTAGGAATGTTGCAGCAAACGAAAGCATGGTTGTCCACACGTTTCTCAATGAAGGATTTGGGAGAAGCATCTTATGTATTAGGAATACGCATCTATAGAGATAGAGCGAGAAAGATGCCTGGCTTATCCCAAAGCTTGTACATAGACACCGTTATGAAACGGTTTAGCATGGAAGAATCCAAGAAGGGATTCTTGCCAATGTCCCATGGGGTTCGTCTCTCGAAATCTATGTGTCCGCAAACACCTAGTGAAATTGAGGAGATGAAAAGGACGCCCTATGCTTCTGCCATAGGAAGCATAATGTATGGCATGCTATGTACGAGACCCGATATTGCGTATGCTGTGAGTGTCACGAGCAGATATCAGTCTAACCCCGGCCCGGCTCACTGGAAAGCCGTGAAAGATATCCTCAAGTACTTGCGAAGAACTAAGGATATATTTTTGGTCTATGGGGGTGCCGAGTTGAAATTAGAGGGTTTTACTGACTCTAGTTTTCAATCGGATGTGGACGACTCCAAGTCGAATTCTGGATTTATATTCACGCTTAATGGTGGTGCCGTGTGTTGGAAGAGTTCCAAGCAAAGCACGACGGCCGATTCCACTACCGAAGCGGAATACATTGCAGCATCCGAGGCTGCAAAAGAAGGGACTTGGATAAGGAAGTTCATCCAAGAGTTGGGTGTCATTCCTGATGCTAGTGATCCAGTACCGTTGTACTGTGATAACACCGGAGCCGTGGTGCAAGCTAAGGAGCCACGATCTCATCAGAAGTCGAAGCATATTCTGAGGAAGTATCACGTGATCCGAGAGATCATTGATAGAGGTGAAGTTAAGGTTGAACGAGTCACCTCGGAAGAGAACGTTGCAGACCCCTTCACAAAGCCTTTACCGAGATCGGTCCATGAGAAACATCGAGAGTCGATGGGATTGCGATTTATGTGTAGTTGGCTTTAGGTCAAGTGGGAGATTGTTAGAGTAGGTGACCAACAAGCCAACATGTGGCTGTGGTCTTTCGTATTTATTATTGTAATAAACGAACCTTTATTCGTATTAATGATAAAACACCTTGGCATTCTATATCTTTGTCCCTTTGTCACAAGCATAGATATAGTCCTTACAGTTATTACAAGTACTAGTAATTGATCGTTAGGATCGTGAGATATTTACTTAAGTATTATAACTGTTAAACGTGTTCCTAGTCGAAGGGTTACGCCACTAATGAGGATATCGGCCTTTCCCATGAAGACTAGCACTTAGTGTATGTGTACTGCATCTCATCAGTATACGGTATTGTGATATCGGCATGCATAAGTGGGTGCTCGTAAGTTGACGAGTTCACTGAACTCCCTCACCCTAGAAATCTCTAAGTGGTTCCCAATAATCGAGTAGAGATATCTATGGTATAGTTGTACACCATTAGTCCTTATGACCTAGACATCACCGTGACTTCACTAGAGGACCAGCTGTATCGTGACCTGTCCCTGAGTTCCACCGAGGACCATCCCAAGGGCCAGTGTTCGTGCAGTCCGAAATCTAGTGGGAGGTCTGTGCATTGTAGTCGGGGATTCGATCGCTAGAATAGTCTTGGATGTCCTGTGTGTTCTGAAAGTTTGTAATCATTCTAAGTCTCTGGCCAGAGCTGACTAAGTGATGATTAGAGAATTCGATTCTCTAAGTCATGCATGTAAGGATTACAACACTTAGAACGATCGCACCGTCATCGAACATATAAAGAGGTCTCGATGAACCAATGCCTCTAGTTCGATCGGGACATATGTATCGAAGGGACCGTACTGTACGATTAACTATATCTGAAGGTTCTTGCAGGCACTTCATTTGTATCTAGGGAATCATGACGCGTAGTTGCTAGACGCCTATCTTGATTCGTTGGGTGATTAAGGTGAAACGAGCTTCATCTTAATCGTAACTGTAAGGGACGAGTTTTGACCACAAAGAGTTGTGGGCCCACGGCTAGCTTACACCTGAACCATCGAGGGTCACACTACTCGTGCACATGAGATCTTTGAATAAACGGTCAGAGATAAAATAGTTTATCTTTGCATGATTGGAAGTCAATATGATCGAGTCCAACATTCGTAATTTGGAATTATGAATGAGAATAAGAAAAGGAAAAGAATAGGCGAACGTATTAGTGAACTTTCTAAATCGGGAAGTTTCCAAATTTAGAAAGTGCACTGAACTAGGGTTTCCACTTTTGGAAAGTTGGAAAATGAGAGATGGCACTCGTAATGACGAGGAAGTTATAATGAATCCGAAAATGTAATCGTTGCAATTTTTCGGTCATTGAATTAAGAGAGACGAGCAAGTAAAGATACTAACGGACTTAAGCTGTTGGGCCCGGTCCAACTTAAGCCCGCTAGGGTTTTATGCAAGACATATAAATACTTGATTTATAGGCAAAAATACAACACAACCCTAACCCTAGCAGCCGTCCACCTCTCTCTCGGCCTCTCTCTCCCATGGCCAACACCGCCGCCCACTCCGCCGTTTCGCCGGAATCGGCCGTTGATCGGCCGATTGGTTTGGTAGTCTCTTTCCTTCTCTTTTTCTTCCAGTTTTCTAACTATTACGTGTCTAGTGCCACGTGTTTAGTAGATCGAAGTATACGAGGTGAAATCCGAGAGGAGGAAGATCAAAGATCGAAGAATCGAAGAGCAGCGCACGAGCCGAAGCCGCACGCTGCCCCACGCGCCGCCCCGGAAGTCCGCGCGTGTACCTCACGCGCCGCCGTGGCCGATTTGCTGCTGCTGCCGCTGCACCGCTGCTGCCCCGATTGTACGGATTGGTTTCCGTAGCAATCTCGACTTGCTAATCGCTCCTACCTCACGCTTCAAGAGGTAAATATACGAAACCCTAGTTTCGATTCGATTATGTTTAAACTATGAATTCATGTTTGCTATCGTATGATTTTATGTGATTATGTGTAATCGTTTTAATCTTTGCAAGCATGTTAATTGGTTTAAACGCGAGCATGTTAATTGATTTAAATTCGGTTAAATTATTTAGCATGTATGTTGTTTTTAATTTCGCTGGAAGCGCAAAGGTACGCAATTAATTGATTTAATTTGTCGGGCATGTACTATGTGTATTTTAAAGTCGTTTAAATCACATAAATTTTTGTTTTCCGCTGCGTATGCGTGCCCGAAACCCAACATGGGCTTGGGGAGCTTCTTCGACGTTGACCACAACCTGGGCTTTGGGAGCTTCTTCGACGTTGGCTTCTTCAGAATCGTCGGACACTTGGATTACTTCGGCTACAGCGGCAGCTATCTGTTCTTAGTGATCTGTGACGTTGGCATCTTTTTCATCGTCTGCCAAGTCGACGTTGGCTTCTTCATAATCGTCGGAAACTTGGATTAATTCGGCGGCGGCGCGCTGTTCTTGGTAATCTGCGACTGGCTTCTTTTTCTTCGTCGACGCCGGCGTTTTGGCCTTGGAGGACGTCCCCGCCAGCTTGTTTTCTTCTGCCGCACCGTCTCCGCCTTCTAGTTGTCTCTTGAGGTTGTCCATTTCCATTCCAACGGAACCCTAAGAAAAGAAAGATGTAATATACTACTTGCTATAAATTTTTGTGGTTTGATTAATGAAATTATTTTCATTTTTTTATTTTATTAGTGATCAATTGCAACCGAGTCCCGTTCAATAAAGTCGTCAGTGCTAATATCACCTCCAATAAGGTCCGGCCAAAAAAAGTCAACCGAGCCCGGTTCAAAGTCAAAATCACCAATAGCAGTTAATTGCTCAATGCATGATTTACTCATCACGCCATTATTTTCTTCAGTTACTGCGAAGTTTGAATTATCATTGTCAGAAGCTGATTCAGACCGTTTTGCCCCTTCCGATTCATTGGCATCACGGTTCAACAGATCTGAAACTTGACTGTCTAGATATCTCACATCTTCGATTTCTTCCTCCTTAAATGTCACACCTTGATCCCCACTTTCCTGGAATAATGCCGTTTATTACATCGAAATCGTAGGTTTGTGAGAGTAAATAGACGTCGATTACAGGGTACTCCAAAATAACAAGATTTGCCAACTGCTAGCGAATTGGTGCTTTTATGTCTAGTTATGGGTAAGGCGATTTTACTCCCTACCCATGCGATGCACGAGTCTTTCAAAGATGACACATAGGCTAAAGAGGTGATATAAAATTGTGTGCTTCTAACTCATAGTATTTAATAGTGTTCTAAAAATCGGCAGAGGCGACCGATTAATCAGCCTCCGAGGCGGAGGCGGTCCCAAACGATTTTAGTGTAAATGTTTTAAAAATCGATTTATGCATGTGAGGTGGTTTTAGGCGGTTTGAGGCGGGTTGAGGCGGTCCGAGGCGGTCAAACCTTAAAGTGGGTCAAACTTCGGTGGCAATCGGTCAAAAAATGTTTTTTTTTTCAAATAAAAGTTGGGATTTTAATAAAAAAAAATAAAAGAAGCACGAAAACATAAAAATAATTTTTTTGTATGAATTAATTCAAAGAAAATTAAATTCTAAAATACAATATGAACTAGAGAAAACCATTTGAATAATGTTATTGATGGAAACTTCCAATCCTAACACATATGTTATACTTGAGTCTATGATCAAATTATATTGGAAGTTGGAACTAAAAATCGCAGTTAAATAGTAGAAAAATACAACAAATGAAAAGAAGATAGTATGCGTAAAAAAATCAATCACACGACTAAGTCAGAATTCTAAGAACAAAATCAATTTACGGAAATAAAAATATTAATTTCTTGTTAATAGATATGAAGCTCCTAATCTTTATGATAATTGTGAAATTGTATCAGGATGGTCTAACTCTGTCGAATTCCGAGTAGTATCATATTTTCAGTAGAATCTCGACAAATTAATACTGAATAAATTAATAATCTTGCCCTGAATAATAACTTCTTTCGGTCCGACTCGCTGAAAATGCATTATTAGTTCGATAATTTAATATTTCGCTAGTCCGATTGTATTGATTTATAGAGGTTTAACTATAATTTTAAATAAATGAGATGGGATTAAGTAGGAGATTCTAAATTTTATCAAGAAATGTTAATTAACCGAATTACAATATAATGTTAAAATGTAAAATTCATAATCAATCGGCTGGAATAGCTCAGTTGGTTAGAGCGTGTGGCTGTTAACCACAAGGTCGGAGGTTCGACCCCTCCTTCTAGCGTTTTTGGGGAATTTTATAGATTTTAGCAAATTAAAAACTCGAAATCTTTTATTTATTAAACTGGATATAATTGAATTAGTTCTTTAAATATTAATAACATAAAATGGTAAAAATTATAAATAAATTTAAAATAGGAGATATATGTAGATAATATATTATAATTATTGAATACATTTTTAAATGCAAGTCATATATCGACAAAACAAATCTAAATCATTCTTTGTATATCAAACATAAAGTAATATTTCCTAAGAATAGTAATTTTTTAAGGTATATTTTTATAAATTGTGTTTATATTGATTGCAAATATTATTTTTGAATTATAAAATTTAATATTTATTATTTTCTTTCATGATTTATCAAAACTTATTCTAACAACTACGGAATATTCCATCCAATTCTAAAGAGATTTCATGAAAGTTAACAAAAGTATACACGATATATGGACCATAACGAGATGTATTAGAGAAATGAGGGATGACCATGAGACACTTGAAATATAAAGGACTAAAGTGAAACTCAATATTAAGATGAGGGACCATTAATGAGATTTGGCCTAAAAACTTTTAACCCGACTGTTACATATGTGTTTATGCTAATGGAGAATATCAACTTTTAATTTTCAAAAATAATTCATAAAAATCTCATATTTTAAAATAAAAATAAAAATTGTATTATTATGCATAGATCTGCATTAACTTACTTTATTCTATGTTAATTTAAATATCTGCATTTTTAGACCAAATGAAGTGTTTTGGGGAAAAAAAAATCAACTATTTGAAACCTCAAATAGTTTTTTTTTCTACATTTTTAAAACTTATGAAATCAAAATGGATATTTAGACTATGAAATTTTTGAAAAAAAAAATTCACATCTAATATATATATTTTTAATCAAGAAACTCGATGCATGCGGTCCTAAGAACACGCAAGAACGAAGACGAAAAATAATCATACATCTGAAAAATAAAAACTAACTTTAACTAAATTTTCATCTTATTTGATCAACCTAACAAATTCCCATACCGGAATTAAGTCCATTATTTGGTTCCTCCAATTTAGGGGAATTCCATCATCGATTTGAATCTCTAAATATCTGAATATATACCATTAAAAAAAACGATTTAACTATTGATGAATTAAGTAAATAGGATTTACCTTAAGATAAGGATAAGAAGAACATGATGCTCGAAATAGATCACCTTAAGTAGTTGAAGTAGGATGAGCTGGAAGAGCAAAGTGGATCACTGGTCACTGGCTCACGAGCTTGATGACCTTGAGATACTTGCGATCATAGAACACGTGAACTAGGCCGGGGGTTGATCCGATGGAAACCCCTCCGATCCTCAAGTCAGACGTGCGAATAGTGGAAATAGTCCAGAGAATACATTTAATAGTATTGCTCAGATAATAGGACGTACCTTAAGGAATGAGTTCAAACCTTTATTTATACCTTAGTCGAGATTGTTTGGGCCCAAACCTTACTTGAAGGTGATTGGGCCTCGGTGGTAGTGGTCTTCAATATTGAGTTTGTGGCCCAGTAGATAAAGAAATTGTAGGCCCATTGGGTTGGCCCAATTATGTATATCAGAAGAGAGTCATCTTCATTTTTAATAGAAGAAGAAGAAGAATAAGAATATTTTATCCAGACCGATTTATACTATGTTTTCTAAATTTGAAAATTCGAATTCTATGTTTTGCGTATGATTTAGTTTTGTTTGCTTATTTACATTTTTTTGGGTCAATTTGCTATAGGTCCCTCTATATTAGATTTTAGGTCTATATATTCTAGTCAAAATTTTCATTTTTTAATAAATTCATTGTATATATAGTGGCGAAAATACCTTTGATAATATATGGAACAAATAGTCCTATAAATATCTGCCAAATCAACGAAATGAATTCTACGTGAAACCTTCAATTCTGCCCCCCAAAATATATGCCGCCCCCCTTCTCCCATAAATCTCTACAAATCACTAACCCTAGTTACGAATTTGCAGTTCCTCTTCCATAGCAATTCAAGAACCTTCAAATCGTTTGTAAGTTTATTTTTTATTGCCGTTTGGTGTTAAACGATTTATATCTATTTTTATGGTTTGATTTATACATTACTTCGTAATTACATCATCAGAGAACTTCGTTATCTAGAAAAAAAAGGTACAAAAGCGTGAAGTAACATTCTCGTATTTATTCCATAAAGACTGTTTTACATCGTAGATGTCTTATAATCTGTCTAACCACTTGTTTTCTTGCCCGTTCAATTTATTGGAAGCTTCATTTCATTTTAGGGGATGATTAAGTTGCAAAAGCTTTTGAATAAGTTGTATTAAGTTGGTGGTTGTGAAAATCTACATTAAGCAGTCAATTTAAAATTTGTATGTGTCTCTGCAAATCAACTCTAATTTTTAGCTTATTTGGATTAAATGTCTAGAATATAATATCCTTATAAAAAAGATTCAGATAAAAAATATAAGTGTATGAATGTAAACAAATAGTAAGTAATTATTTGTAGAAGTGCTTTAAAATCACAACAGCTACCTCATGCATGTTTTCGAGATTACAGTTTAAAATTGCTCATTTTAAAACAAGAAAAAACAAAAGTTGTTTCTGTAAATACTTAAAAACTGATTATTTATAAATTAAAAAAAAAACTTATAAATATTTCAAAAGCTTTTGCAAACACCACCTTACTCCAGGTAGATAAATTCAGACAAGCTGAATATAGTACTATAAAACATAATATATAGTAGAATTCCAATAAAGAATCAATAACAAACATATATGTCAATTCGGCAAGGGACTCAAACCCGACCCGAAATTCCAACCATTCAACTGCAACAAAATCGATTCTCGATGCCAAACACAAAAACACAAAAAAAAAAAAAAAAAAAAAAAATCGATTCTCGATGCCATACTATAGTATCAAGATTACTCATACATGTCCAAGCTAGGCAACCTTTGATAAGGAACTGCAAGAAGTGGTGTACTCTTCTTCATGACAATTCCAAACTTCTCTTCCATATCAAGCTTCACCCCTTCCGGAACCTTCCAATCGAACGAATGCAAGAGCGTAGCAACCAAATACGTCACCATTCTCTCCGCCAGCGGAATCCCGGGGCAAACCCTTCTCCCCGATCCAAACGGGAGATAATGAAAATTGTTTCCAATATAATCCCATTTACCATTATCATCGTCGTTCAAAAACCTCTCCGGCTTGAACTCGGTTGGATTCTCCCAAACTTGCGGATCTTTATAATTTGTCCAAACGTTCAACAAAACCCTAGATCCCTCTGGAACTGTGTACCCACCGATTGTGCATGATTTGCTCGGCATTTTTGGGATAAGCAATGGAAGTGGAGGGTGGAGTCGGAAAGTTTCCCTAATGACCGCGTCAAGATAGTGGAGTTTGGTGATGTGGGATTCTTCGACTATGTTGTTTAGTCCGACGACTTGTGTTAGTTCTTGTTGGGCTTTTTGCATTGCATGCGGGCTTTGTAGGAGCTCGGCCATGACCCACTCGACTATCGTTGCTGTCGTGTCGGTCCCGCCTATCACGATATCCTGTTCAGTGGAGCGCAAAAATATATTAGGGTTTTATGGGGAAGTGTTGTTAGGGTTTTTATATCTAGCAGACTAGCACAGACACAAGAACGTGAAATGGCAAAGTATGAAAACGGACAAAGGAAAAATAGTAAACGCATATTCACTTATGTAAGTGCGTATGTATTTATTTACGACAAATTAATATACATATTTTCTTTGTTCATATTACCGTTTTTAGTAAATATCGCAATATTCAACTATCAATTTGCAATCAACTATTAAAACATATCGGCAACTATTGGTTCATTAGCCACTGTCCATTATATATATATATATATATATATATATATATATATGCTAATATTCGTAGATCAAACCTAGCTATGAAAAAAATGCAAGAATGTTATATATATCAAGAAAATTAGAAAGTTATTACCATCAATAAGCCCTTTATTTGAGCAACATCCATTGCTTTGCTCACCAACATTTTGCTTCATAAGATCCAACAAAATCTGCACAAAGTCCTTTCTTCTATTCGCACTCGAAAATTCTCCACCGGAATCCTCCATGATCTTCATCCGATCACTTATCACGGAATTAAGAATTTCGTCGACGCTCGGCAAAACCCCCTTCATTTCTTTCTCTATCCCCTGAAAATCAAACTTCGCCAAAATAGGGAAAAAATCAGACAAATTAGGCTTACCCAAAAGTTCGACGAATTTCGCCACCTTCTCCCTAAACCGAGCCCCGATTTTATCTCTATTCTCCCCTTCAAGGGCCCCACCCCATATCAAGCACAACACCACGTTCACCTCCGTGATAAAAATCAACTCCCCCACATCGACATTGGTCCCGATCTTTCCGTACAGATTCCTTACAGCCCGTCTAACCTCGTACCTCCGAAGCGGGCCCGAGTCGTCGAGGTTTTTGTTGCTGAGCATCTCGCGCACAAAAACCTTCCGGAGGTTCCGCCAGTGGGGCCCGTAGGGAGAATTTACGATATCGACCCCACCAGTGGCCACCAAGCCAGCGACGGTGGGGTCGTGGTTCGCAAACACTGCGTCGTGGTCGCGGACCACCTCTTTGATGAGTGATGGCGAGCTGATCACGACGCAGAGTTTGGTCCCGAGCCACAACTTGTAGATGGGCCCGTATTTACGTGCCAGGTCAGTTAGCTGGATGTGCAGGTTGTGGCTCAGGAAGGGCAGGTAACCTAGGATCGGTACGCCACGTGGGCCAGGTGGGAGTTTTTTTGTCCAATTCTTGAATATCCATGAGTACCAAACGATTGATACTAGAAGAAAAAACACACTGAGAAGTGCAAGAGAGATTTGATCCATAATTCTTTTTTTTTTTTGGTGAGTGATTAAAGATTGGAGTAGGAAAAATGTGAATAGTGAGTTTATATAGATTTATATTGAAATTATGTGATTGGTAGCAATTAATTAATTTTCGGGCACGTGGATAATGTTGTGTGGAATAAACATGTCAGCATTAGTGTGTGGAGTTAAATGTTATTTGCCTGGTTATGGTGCCATGGATTGATGTTCCTTTCTGGCAATAATGAGGAAATAAATACAAGGATTTAATATTAAGGTAAGAAATTAATTTTAGGATTTGTTGATAGAGATGAATTTATGTACCTAACAACCTTCTAGATTTTCTTTTTTAATTTCTGGCGGGAAGCATTCATTGGTTTTTCTCTATGAAAGTTTGGCGTAGGGCTTACAGTTGCAGTTAGGGTTAGGGTTTAAAATTGGAACATAATTTCCAATTTGTGCTATTTTGAATCTGATTTTACTTTTTAACTAGTACTACACCCGTGCGATGCACGGGGTAGCATTTACAAAGGTGAAAAGGAAAAATATTTACATACGTCGTGAATAAAAATAGTAATAAAACAATATATAATAAAATTTATTAGTAAAATTAAATTGACAAAGGGTTATATGAACTTAAATCGCCATATTATGAATTAATCGTTTAGAAATGAAGTATATTGAACAAAGTAAAAATTAATAAACGTGTCATACATGTATTTTAGAACTCCAGCAATTGATAACTCCATTATTTAGTTCTTTAACAAAACTAATTAAAAATACGTATATAAATACCGAAAAATTTATTTCAATTAAATACATTTTGCAGTAACATAAAATTACCTAAATACGAATCCATAAATCAATGTATATAGTACTAAAAACAATTCAGTAATCGTAAGAAAAATTATACTATCATGTCCTTCCATTTGTAAGTGTTTCAAATTCGAGCACTGATGCTTCGCCTCTGGAGTCGCTTGATGAAGTCAAAATTTGAATACTTGTTGCCCCTTGCTACTTTTCCTCTTGGCAAATGCATCTGCAACAAAATCAAGATTCACATCTTGGGAAGCCCTGGCAAAGTGTTCAACGGGTGAGTTAGGTTTTTTAAGTTTATGAGGATTCTAAGTCATAATAAAATTTACTGTACGACTTGAACCACACTAAATAGAAACTAAAATATTCTAATGCAGTTACTTGCTCAACCTTAAAGAATACTAAAATAACAAATTGCTCAACCTAACATTTGAAAAAACATAATTAAAACCAAACCCATCTTTGTGAAAATCTTAATTAATTACCAAAATTTGGTTCTAATGTATATCATATAACCAAAAATACTAATATGAACTTTGAACTGTGCAGTGGGATTCAAAGTTGTAATTCGCTTTATCGAAAATATGAAAATAAACTTTGTAAATTTAAAAAAATACAAATTGTGGACAAGTTTTCAAACTCCGATTCCAATACGATGAGCACCAAAATACCATTACCTCTGAGAGAGTGACTCTACACACTATGCGGTAAAGAAAATGAATGTGAGAATCATACTGGGTGCCATTTTGAGTTTTCGTCATCTGCCGATACGAAGTTGACGAAGCTTGTAATCAACGGTGAACTGATGTAGGAAGCAGTCGTGTTGATTCCTGGAAAAATCATAGAAAAAAAAATTTATTACATATATATTTTGGATAAGATGCTCGATCACAGTTATAGCATGTATGAAAAGTCGTAGCCCTTGAGCGAATCCTGATTCACTTTTTTGGAGAAGACCTTATTTGCTGAGATGGAGACCGGAATAGGGTTCAACATACTTTGATTAAGAAATAAAATTCCATCAACAAAAACGCATAAATGGTAGCAATTAAAATCGTAAAAAAAAATATCTGAAGATTAATACTAACAAATTAGAGCACTATGAATAATCAATATCTGAAATTGTTTTGGCATAAATTGGAATACAATATGCTGGGCAAATAAACTGAATTTGAAGTGAATAGCTGACAATACCATAGGTTATTTCAGAGAAGGATATGGAGATACAACGGGGAAATCGGGCTTGCATTCACATGTTGGGGATGTAAAACAGTTGAAGTGTTCCCTGCATACACCAACAATTTATCCATTTAGAGGTATAGAACCACAATAGACTATTTTGTATTACATAACCATGTTCTTCATCACGCGAGCAAAGATTAAAAAATAGAGGAGATGTATTAGATTACTTGTCATCCTAAAATGAATTTGTTAGTGAACTGCATATTTGCACCTGCCACCTGTCAAATGAATTAACTATATCAGCCATATAAATTCAGTGGAAGTGCTGATCCACATATATAGAGATGCCAACACTTTTGTTAAAAGATGTCAACATTTTGTTAAATTTAAAATTATTAAAAAGACAGATTCACAGGAAATGCCTATGCGGTTGAGAAATTATATATACCATGTCGTACAATCATTCTTCCTAGCAGTCCATGATGAAAGAAAAAAATTACAACGAAAGAAATAAAAAGAAAAAGAAATCAATACAAATTACGCAACCAAAAACATATTTTGTCCAAACTCATGAACATCATCGATTCGAACATCTCTAACTACTACTAATATAAAACTTAGATATCATTTCTAAAACTTAACTATTATTTGATGTTACAAACTTCCCCGACAATCAAAACACAAACACAAACAAACTTATACTAATGCAATTTACTTCTAAAAACAATGTCATCTAAATTGTGAAAATAAGGTTATAAAACTATAAGGGCATATTAATATAAAAGAATTTTTTTGCTTTCCCATTAAGGTGCATCGTTATATTTCTTTATGCACGTATATAGAATAAGATTCAATACATACCTTATCGAAAAATAAATAAATTAAACACCAAATATATGTAAAATAATATTGAAATATACTTCCTTAATAGTAGAGAATATGTGGTTGAGCCTCATGGTAGATCTTAATATGTACGGTCTGAATTTGAAGCAATAATAATTAGACTAACCCATATATTGCACCTGGAAAAAAAAATACACAATAATATAATTGCAGTGTCGTTGTGGGAAAAAAATTTAGTGTGGACATAAATGAACCAAAAAGTATATGTATTTCGATTTAACATATGTATCATTTACCTGGGGAAAAAAAACCTATGTATCATTTCCATTCATCTTTTTCTCCTTCATTTTCTACTAATAATCATGTGGGTCATATTTGTGAGAGCTTAATGTGATGCATTCATCTCATATTATATAATATAACACACGCATATATATAATATATATATATATATATATATATATATGTATATATATATATATATATATATATATATATATATATATATATATATATATATAAATTGAACAATAAAAAAAAGATTAAAACAGGAGATGTTTGCTATAAATTTTGGATCTTACTTGGAAACAGGGTTGTTGGTAATAATACGTGAACATTAATTTCTGAATAACATTTCAACGAAATCTGGAGAAATCGCTAACCCCAATTAAAAAATAAAATAAATAAACAGCGAATTAAGAAATCCTCAAATTATAAGCAAACAAATTAAAATTGCGTGCCTGGAGACGAAATCCTACTTCATTACCAAACAAATAAAAACACTAAGAACCTTATAAAAAAACCCAATAAATTTGAGCATAAAATCCGACTATCACTAACCTCTTGAGGATTTGGATGCACGAAAACGACAGTTTCCAACATTCTTGTGCCCGGACGAATTCAATAGTTAAAAGATTTATGGTGGCGCTTCAATAATTTTTGAAAGATTTATTTATGCTATTCATTCAAGCGAAAGGAACCGATGAAAAGAAGTTTTCGGAAAAATAAATCTCGTGAGAGGTTATACATGCAGTTGGGGGAGGAGAACTTGTTTTATTTGTTGCAAAATAGTCCTAGAACTATCAAAAAATTATAAGAACTGCCATAGGGTTTTGAAACCCTAAAGCGCCACGTGTCAACATATTATGCCAATGATTGTCTTTTTATATATACTAGTGATACACCCGTGCGATGCACGGGATAGCATTTCAAAAGGTGAAAAAAAAAATATTAAATACGTTATCAATAAAAATAGTAATAAAATAATATATAGTAACAAAAATATTAGCAAAATTAAATTGAGAAAGGGTTATATGAACTTAAATCATCATAATATGGATTTATTGTTAATGAAATGAAGTATGTTGAATAAATCAAAAAGTAATAAACGTGCCATACATTTGTTCTACAACTCGAGCAATTGACGAACACCATTATTTAGTTTTTTAACAAAACCGATTAAAAATACGTATACAAAAATACATTCCATTTAAATTCATTTCGTAGTAACATAAAATTACCTAAATACAAACATCCATAAACCAATGTTTACAGTTGTATACCCGTAGTCGTAATCATAAAATACAATAATTATAAACTATACCATTGTCGTGATCGTAGTAAAAAGTTTTTAGTAATCGTAAGAAAAATTATACTATGAAATTACTAATTGTATATTGTAGCTTGCATTTGTAAGAGTTTAACCCGAGCAATGATGCTTTGACTCTAGAGGCGCTTGTCGAAGTCAAAATTTGAACGCCTGCTCCTTCTCCTCTTGGCAAATGCATCCCCAATAAAATCAAGAGTGACATCTAGGGAAGCCCCCTGACAAAGTGTTAAACGGGTGAATTAGGCCTTTTAAGTTTTTCAAGATTCTAAGTCATAATAAGGTTTAAACTTGAATCACCCTAAATAGAAACAAAAATATTCTAATACAGGTAAAGAAAACTACTTAAAGAAAAGGGTAAATTACACCCACACCCCTAAGGTATGCTTAAATAATTTTAAGGTCTATATGGTATCGATAATTACACACACCCCCTGAAACGTAGTTATAAACTCTAACGGGATAATGCATTGGATACATTATTCCGATAGGGTCCTAATGGACTATTACTTTCAGCTAGTAGTGGAGATAACATAGAGTTATGGGGAGTTATGGGGTGACATGGCTCCCCCAATATTTCTTAAATCAGCCATAATTCTTTGTTGTCTCCACCACTTCCTGAAACTAATAGACCGTTAGAACTCTATCGTAATAACTAATCCAATGCATTATCCCATTAGAGTTTATAACTATGTTTCAAGGGGATGAGTGCAATTATCAATACCACAAAGACCTTAAAGTTATTTAAGCTAACCTCAGGGGGTGGGTGTAATCTACCCTAAAGAAAAATAAAATAATAAATTGTACGATAAAATTACTAATTGAATGTTATAGCTTTTCAAATGTCAAACATTTGAAAAAACATGAATTAAAATGAAACCCATCTTTGTGAAAATCTTAATTGATTCCCAAAATTTTTTTCTAATGTATATCATATAACCAAAAATACTAATATGAACTTTGAACTGTGCAGTGGGATTCAAAGTTGTAATTCCTTTTATAGAAAAAATGGAAATAAACTTTCAAATGTATGTAACAAAAAAATCCCCAAACTATAACCATTTTCTTCTCTCACTCACATTTAAACTAATGTGTTCTCTTTCAAAACAATAGATATATAATCACATTATTCACCCTGTTACTTAAACTTCAAACAACAAAAGCGAAAGGCATAATCAAAATGACTTTAGTTTTCCAAAACAAATGAAAGGTATATTAAAATAAAATTCATCGGTCAATGTGGAACAGATTCAAAATAGGCATGTAATTTCTAATTTCTTAATTTGTAATGAAGATGTAGTACATAGAAAAAATCGAGTTGATTATTGGCATTTGTGTGTAAATAAGGATAGCCAACATACCCGTGTTTGTAAAGTATGCACGTCTGTGTAAGCCAACATTTATGCCTTTCTTGACTCTGCCACATCACATATATGTCTCATCTGCTTCTCCACAACCTTTCAGCACGTTGCTATAGCCCGTTTTTTGTTAAATCATCAATATATAAAATTGAAGACTGTAAATGAAAGTCGTTACTACTAATATTCTACCTCCAACTGAGTCAAGTACATAAGACATGTCGCTACAAATGAGCCAAAAAAATATGTTATCGATAGAACAACACCTTACTTCTTTTATATATAAGATTTACTCGTATAGCCATATTTTTTGCATCACTTACCAATTGTACAAAGGGTACAATTTTTTTATTTTATTTAAAAAAGACCCCATTTATATAGCCATCGACCAATAGCTCTTATAAACTTTAAACAGTAACTCAAATAAAATATGATCAAAATTGAACAAAAGTGAATCGTTATTAAAAATAAATAAGGAATTACGTAAGTTGACAATACCATCAAAGGGATTTCCATTAGACTAAGTCATCTTTTCTCCGAAAAAGGACTTTGATGTCCCTGACAGTTTTATCACCATCACCATATCACCATCTGCTAAAATTGAAATTCATTTCAGTTATTATATTACATTACTATAAATAAATAAAAAGTTACAATAATAAGAAGATAAGTCTAGAGAAAAATAGAAACATAAATTTTAATGAAGCCTCAGACCATATACTTACGGATATGGAGATAGGGGGGGGGGGGGGGGGGGGGGGGAATTAATCCCCCCAAACCCTTTTAACTTGGACCCCAATTCAAAAAAACCCCGGCCAGGAAAATGTTTTAATAAAAAAAAAAGGGTCCTTTTTTAAAAAACGGGTCCAAAAATTTTCCCCCCCCCCCCAAAAAGGATGGCTTTTTATAGAATTGACGTATCTAGTATTGCAACGATAAATCCTCATAAGATCCATTAACATATCGATCAATGAGTTACGTAACAGCCAAATGGCTTACAATATGAAGGTTTCCGTTCTGAAAAAAGAAAACCCATAATTTAGAAAAAAATCCTTTTTGATACAGAGTAATTAAAGAAATAAGGATGCGCAACAAAAATTCCCAATTAGCACTTTTCTCACTCTGCAAATATGCAACCACTATTTGGATGAAATTGACTCAACATCCCACCGAGACAGTGTTTTCGCAAATTGGAACACAGAGCATCATATACGGCTAAGATCTTTCCCCAATTGAATTTTTTTTACGAATTATTTTTATATTATTAATTTCCAAAATACTTTTTATTCCATGTTGGTTTTCTCAAAGCCATTGATTTTCCGTACCCAAATTCTTACAGAAAGTACAGAAAGAAGGATGAACAGAAATATGAGGATTTTCTTACTTGAAATTTCGATCACCGGCAGTGGCTTTCGCTGGCAAACACTGAGCGGTTGCGCAAAGGGGTCCTTTTCACTCCCGCTTCCCGACAAATTTTGTTGAATTCTTGGCAGGTGGATTTTAGAGATTTAATTCTCTGGGAACTAATAATTGTTCAAAGATTTGTGTGAAAATTCGGGTTGATATACGGATGAGACATGAAAAGCAGTTGAAAGTTGAAGGAGTGAGTATTGAGAGAGAAATTTAGAGGAGATGGAAAACGTGAGAAATCTAGGGGAGATGAAACGGTGTGTTTTTTCTGATAAATGGAAGTTTTCGGATAGGAAATGAATTTAATATCCTGTGGAGATTTTATTTTAAAAAACTGCCAAATGCTAATAAAACTGACCGACTGAAATTTAACAAAACGCCATTAGAAAACCAAGATATTACAAAAACGGCCCTAGGGTTTGAAACCCTAAATATGCCACGTGTCACCATTTTAGGCCTATAGATTGTCTTTTTATATATATATAGATATAGATTTTTTATTCTAAAACCGTCCTTTTCATTTTTATTTTTGAAATTAAAATTTCTGATTTGGTTTTGGGTCAAATACACTCTGTAAATTATACACCCAACACATCAAATACCCCTTAAATTATTAAAATCAACAATTAACCCCATAAAATATACCCCAATATATATATAATGCTCCCTTGACCTATTAAAATAACAGTAGGTGTTAATTAGTAAGATGTTTGGTTGATAAAATTCGTGTTTAGTCAAGCCTCACTACATGCAATTAGATGTTACTATTTGGTTAAATTAGTAGCAATTTTCTCCTCTGCAATTATTTTTATTTATAGGGGGTGATTGAAAAATGAAAAGACAATTTTGTGCTTCAAATAATATCAGAACTTGATTTGATAATTAAAAAACTATTTTAACACATTTAATACCAGAACTTTACAAATTTAATAAAAGATTGAATATGATAAAACAAACATCTAACTGACTAAATAATTATATAATCAGGGGATATTAATCCAATCTCACTTAATTCAATGTAATATATATGATATATGTAAGTAAACGAGGCCTTAGTTGATCAAATTAAATGAACGAAGAAAAACATCCTCATGTTTCCTTTGTCCATCTTTCGAGATGATTTTTAGTGTAGTATATATAATATTATTTCATTTTAAAAGGCAAAATCCAAATTTATTAATTAAAAAAAAAAATCATTACATAAAAGCATTGACTTTTAAGCATTTACTATATGATTCCCTACCCTTTACTTAATCAAAATAAATTTAAAATTTTAACATATGTAGCATGACTTTTAAATAATCAGAAGAACTAAAAATTCTAAGAACAAATCAATTTACGCAAGTAAAATATGAACAAAGGTTGTGGAATTCTGATTTCTGAATATTGTCATATTTTCTTTGGTATGTACGTAAGTATAAGTTCTTTGGTAGTATAAATAACACATAAGGAAATTAATATAAGATTGTAAATCATATATTAAAAATCATCAGATATCTAAGAGAAATATAATGTTAACATGTAAAATTTGTAGCAAATTGGCTGGAATAGCTCAGTTGGTTAGAGCGTGTGGCTGTTAACCAAAAGGTCGGAGGTTCGACCCCTCCTTCTAGCGTTTTCATTTTTTCCGAAATTTTAAAACCGAGAAGCATAAATAAATATAAATATTAGTCTTTAATAGTACAAACTGTTTTGAATTTTTATTAGGGCAAATGGCAAAAAGGCCCATCACATGGGACTTAAATGCATTTTGGTCCACAAAAAAAACAGTCTCTCAATTAAGCCCATCCCCATGTCTTTAGTGTAAAATATCCTCAATAATATAATTCTTATCAATTCCACCTATTATGCTCTAACTTCCTTAATATTACACATTGACCCTGGATTTAAACAAATATATCACATTAACCCCCAAACTTTTTTTTTTTTTTCTGAAATGTTTTTTTTCCGGCCAGATTCCAGCGTTGACCGCCGGTCTCCGGCGTTAACTTTTTTTTTTTTTTTTTGAATTTTTTATTCCTGAATTTTTTTTCCGGCCGGTCATCCACCGTTGACCGCCGGTCTTCGGCGTTGACCTTTTTTTTTATGATTTTTTTTTCTTAGAAAAAAAATATTTTAATTAATATTACTGTCTTGGCTACTAAATTACTGTCTCAGACAATAATATTACTGTTTGGGACAGTAATATTATGAATATTATTTTTCCGAACAGTAATATTATTAATATTATTGTCTAAGACAGTTAAATTACTGTTGGAGACAGTAATTTAACATCCAAGGCAGTAATATTAATTAAAATAATTTTTTTTAGGAAAAAAAAAAAAGAAAAAAAAAGTCAATTAACAGTTAAATTACTGTCTCCGACAGTTAAATAACTGCCGGAGACAGTAATTTAGCAACGAATACAGTAATATTAATTAAAAATATTTTTTTTAAGAATAAAAAAGTCAATTAACAGTTAAATTACTGTCTCCCACAGTTAAATAACTACTGGAGACAGTATTTTAGCAACGAATACAGTAATATTAATTAAAATATTTTTGAAGAAAAAAAAATAAAAGTCAATTAACAGTTAAATTACTGTCTTCGACAGTTAAATAACTGTCGGAGACAGTAATTTAGCAGCCAAAACAGTAATATTAATTAAAAAAAAAAAAAAAATCAACGCCGGAGACCCGGCGGTCAACGGCAGTTGACCGGCCGGAAAAAAAATTTTGGAAAAAAAAAATTCAAAAAAAAAAAAAGTCAACGCCGGAGACCGGCGGTCTCCGGTGGTGGCAGGTCAAAATTGGGGTCAAAATTGAAATTATGGTTAAAATTGGTTAATTGATGAAATTGGGCTAAATTGAGGTGTAAATCATGAAATTGGAGTTAAATTGGGTTTCAATGAATTGAGGGTAATTTTGGTATATATAAAAGGATTTTACTTATTTGCAAATAAGTTTGAATGAGCTGAATTTATTTGAAGACAAAAAAGTTGGGTGTCCCTCTTTTAATTAAGTGCCCTTGTCATGGGCCTATTTCCCATTACCCTTTTTATTTTGTGAAAAAAAAATATCATTTCGTGGGTTAATTATATAAATTGGGTGGACTAAATTAACAAACATGATATAACATGCTGTAGAAACTAAATCGAGAGTGGAATGGAATCCCCCATAGTTGAAAAAATGGCTCCGACATTGGTTATGATTGAATGGATGTTTTTGCTATGCACCATTTTGGCAATTGATGTTTTCCATTTTTTTTAAAATAATTCATCAATCTACAATTAGTGGTAGGGTAAAGTTAAACATGCAGACAGTTAAAAGGAAACAGATGGAGTAGTATAGATATTTTAAACGGTAAATTATAACTACTCCACGAGGTATGGTCAAATTACAAAAAACCACATGTTTGAATAACTACAATTACCTCTTCGACTATGATCTTCTTACACGTCCATCTTTTTGGTGTCAAATTCAACATAATCTTCTAGATTCCATGAATGTTCTCTAATTTGTACTTATTTTTGTGAAAAAATGCAGTTGCTGATGTACCACAATTTGATATATACAAGCCAAAAAATACATCTTATGATCATCTTCCTTCAAAATGTGGAAGTCGAATGTGATCAAACGAGTACAAAATTGAGAATATTACATATATAATCTAGAAGATTCAACTAGATCTGACACCATAAGGGTGTACGCGTAAAAAAAGTTTATAGTTGAATAGTGGTTATAATTATCCAAATATGAGAATTTTTTTCGTAAATTGACCGTACCTCAGGATGGATCCATATTTTATATTAAGAAGAAATAGAGGCCTCGTATTATTGAGCATACCAAGAAATGCCAGCTGGTGGATAATTCTATGATAATCAATCATATTAAAATTGTATTGTTCATGAAGAGACAAAACTTTCTTGATCCAAGAAAATTCAATTATTAACAAAAGAGAATTTTATCTTAATCAAATGTACCAATTTTTTTGTAGTAGATTGATAATTTGATACTGGTGTTATCTCCATCCTCAATTTCTCTTATTCAACCATCTTATTTTATAAATTTAATTAAATAAAATATTTTAAATACCATTAATAATTTATAAACCTATGTTCTCGTGCAATAATTTGTAAATCAGACAAAAAGACGTAGAACACGAACCATAAGTTATCAAGTTATGCGTGATAAGATCGATCTAAAAAATACTGACACGTAGATTATTTTGATCATGCACCGAAGAAACTATAAATACAATAAATAGTTGTAGACAGATGTAATAGTACATTAAGGTTCCGTTTGGTTGGCAATATAAGGCATGATTAACTTATTAGTTGGACTTAATTTGATGTTTGGTATCCCCAATAAATTGTCGGGTCGACCCGCCAAAATTATATAATTATGGTTTATATTGTCTTATCTTGGCTTATCTTGCCTTCCAATGAGTTTGTTTTTTGACCTTACAAACTCCAATAAAATAATTGAGTTTCATTAAATTATTTAATTTTATCTAGGCTAATTTTATCTTGCCAAACAAACGGGCCTAAAAATTAATTGTGACAACTACTGAAGCAGTAGTGTTCTTAGTCATGTTGACTAATTGGATCAGATCCACATCAATCTATTTATATCCACAAGTTTCTGTACATATCATTTTTAATAATTGGATCCAGATCTAAACAAACTCATACTCAAAGAAGGAATTCATCATTTTAAGAACAAACTATTTTTATATAATTTTATTATAGATTTTTTAAATGGAAATTATCTTAAAATTAAAGTCCCTCGAAACTATTTTTTTGTAACATTAAAAATACAAAAAAAAAAGATATATATATTTTAGTTTCATGAAAAGTCCCTGATCATGTGTTCATTCTACGAAACGACCCATGTATTTTCTTTAGCTAAAAGTCGTTGGGAGCGGTGTAAGACGCGTCTCTGGTATAAGTGTAAGATTTTTAGCCAATTTTTCGCGGGGAATTGAGAAAATTTTAACGTGAAGATCGCATTTTCGAATTCGACCGTTAAAATCTAAGAAAATTGGTACCATATAAATTACAACTTCAACTAATTCATATTTGAAAAAAAAAAAAAAAAAGATATTTTTATAGAGTTCTCATGCAATTTTCATAAAGTTCTTACAAATTTGGATACAAATATGGAAACGTTGCGTAAAATATTTATTTTAGTGACAACATCGATTGCATTGTCACTCATAGAGACTAGGATTAGATAATCTTGGAGTCGGAATAGCAACGAGCGGGATTCTCTTCTTCAAAACAATCCCGAACTTTTCAGACAAGTCCATTTTTTCTCCGACAGGCAAACTCCAATCAAAGGAATGAACCAAAGAAGCAAGCGAATACATAAACATCCGCTCTGCCATACCTATTCCGGCACATATCCTTCTCCCCGACCCGAACGGGAAATAGCTAAAGTCATTACCACTATAATCCCATTTCCCTTCCGAAAATCTCTCGGGACGAAAATCCAGTGGATTCTCCCACACGGATGGGTCCCTATGGATCGCCCACACATTGACGAAAATGCGGGCCCCCTTTGGGACCGTGTAGCCCGCAATGGTACACGTGGCGCTCGGGCAGTGAGGGACGAGAAGTGGAAGTGCCGGATGCAAACGCAACACTTCTTTCATGACGGTGTATAAATACGGGAGCTTATTAATGTGGGATTCCTCTACTATGTTGTCTTTGCCTACTATCGTCTCCAGTTCTTGTTGCACCTTTTCGAGGACTTCGGGCTTGTTCATCATTTCGGAAAGAGCGTATTCCACCGTGTTGGACGTTGTGTCCGTTCCACCTACTACCATATCCTGTTTCCGAATTTATTTACGATCAATAGCAAGTATAGAACTTCCGAATAACTAATTAATTATGAAAAATTAAATGTACGTACGAAAAGACTAATTGATAGGTCATACGGATGCCGTAAGTAGTTCCGATAAGGGTTAATTGCATTTAGTACTACCCCTATATTAACATAATCGTCTAAAAATGTCTTCTTATCATAAATATTAGTAAAATCCACTGGTTCAATTTTATTAGCAAACTACCCCTAAAAATGTGTATACAGTGAATATATCTTACATATAAAAGTAAGAAAAGCTAGGACAACGTAAGTAACCCTAATGACATATTTGTAATTTTTTAATATTAATTATTAATATTTTTTCATTTCCTATTTTTCAGGTTTTTTTCTCTAATGACTTTCATAGCAAATCAGATTTGCAAATTCGCTAGCTAAATTCTAATCTCGATAGTATATATATATATATATATATATATATATATATATATATATATATATATATATATATATATATATATATATATATATATATATATATATATATAAAATAAATGAAAATTTTACCATGAGTAAAGATTTGAGATGGATCATGGTGAAAGGTGTTTTGGCATCTCCTCCATCTTCTTTATCTTCACAGAAACTGCAAAAAATCCTTTCTTTCTTCACCGCCGTCACCTAATTCTCCGTTGATCTTCAATCTCTGCTCGATAATCGTCTCGAAAATGCCGTCGAATTTCCGGGCCAACACTTTCATCTTCTTCTGTATGCTCTGAAGATCAAATCTCTCCAACCCCGGAAAAAAATCCGATAAATTCGGCATCCCGAGCAGCCCAGTCATCTCGCCCACCACCTGCCTGAACTCCGATCCAAGGCCGCCGCCGTCCAGCTCCTCCCCCACCGCCGTGCCGCCCCACATCATGCTCGTGATCACGTTCATCATGTTCAAGAACATCTGCTCGCCGACGGCCACCGGAGATCCCGCCTTGCCGTACAGGTAACGAACCGTCCGCCGGAGCTCCCTCCGGCGGAGGGCGTACACGGAGTCCAGGGTGGCGCCGCTCAGCATTTCGCGGACGCAGACTCGTCTCAGCATCCGCCATTCCGGGCCGTACGGCGTCCAGACTATGTCGGCGCCGCCGTAGGTGGCCTCTTTTCCGGCCACCGGAACATCCCTATTTGCGAAGGTGGTGTCTTGATCCTTGAGCACTTCCTTCGCGACTGACGGCGAGCTGACGACGACGCCGATCTTGCCGCCGAGCTTGAGCTTGTAAATCGGGCCGTATTTTTCGGCGAGGTTTGCAAAGTACGTGTGGAGTTCCGGTTGGAGAGAGAGTAGGTTTCCGACGAGGGGCAACCCCCTTGGGCCTGGCGGCGGTGGAGGAATATTCCGGTTGCTTGATTTCTTGATGAAGAGTATCAGAATCCACAAGGCGGCAAGCACGACTAAAGCGGAGTTCAGCACGAGTGTGGCCCGATCATCGGTGGCGCCGCCGCTGCTCCGCCACCACCGTGAGCAGGCATCGGAGATGGTATCCAAAGCTTTAGTATACATGATTAATTAGTATATTGGTAGAGAGAGTTGCTATAAATGGAGAGCGAGTTTATCGATAAATTTATATCCTATTTTAACTTTAATCAAGATTGGAATTGGACGGCCGATATTATTGTTACAGTAAATTACAACCACGTCCCTGAGATATGGTCAAATTATGAAAAAACCCCTCATGTTTGGATAATTCCAACCATCCATTAACTATGAATTTTTTTACACGTTCATCCTTATGGTGTCAAATTCAACAATATATTCTAGATTCTGTGGAATGTTCTCTAGTTTGTACTCGTTTTGTGAAAAAAAAATGCAGTTTCTGATGCACCACAATCTGATATATACATGCCAAAAAAACACATCTTATGATGATCATCTTGCTTTAAAATGTGAAATTCGAATGGGGTAAAATGGGTATAAAATTGAGATTATTCCATATAATCTAGAAGATTCCACTAAATTTGACACCGTAAGAGTGGACGTATAAGAAAATTTATATTTGAGGGCGTTGTTTGTAATATAACCATACCTTAGGGGTTTGTTGTAATTTACCCTAACTATTATTCAGTGACGGCCGATGTTAGAACAAGGACAAAAATGTTTGCCTTGAATGTGCTAAAATTTTGAAGAAGAATCCTTTAAGGCTGCCCAACTTTTAGATTCCATTGCAAATTTAGTTATCATGTGTTAAAGGATCTTTGACTTGCCATTCGCGGTTTAATACCGAAAGTTGGAACGGACTTTCCAAAATTCCATAGTTTTCATCTATAGAAAATTAACTTTTGAATAATTTTTTTGTTACAAATTTTGAAATTTTAATTTCTATATTTTTGAATTTCTTTTGGATCAACTTTCCTTCGTCATTTCGAGCATTTGGATTTTTTAAAGTAATATTTGTAATATTAATATTACTAACTATTTTAGTTTAGGTGAATAAAAAATGAACTTCCGTCATTTTTTTCTAATTTAGAATTTTGCGATTTTAAAACAAGCTTCCGATTAAGGTTTTCTTTTTTTTTTTTTTTTTTTTGGGGAATTGTTTGGACAAAATTGAATTTAGGTATTTCACTTCCGGGAATAGTTAATTTTTTCAATATAACAGTCAATTTTCCCTTAATATATTTTAATGATCTTATAGTTTATAAGTAACTATGTAGTCTATATTTATAATATAACTCCTCCTCTTGGGGGAATTTATTTAATGCATAGTTTCCTTTGAACAGAGAATTTCGATTAGTTTGAGGGCGACTGCTTGCAAGTGTTTGAAAAACTCCAGCAAGCTTATAGAAACTCCAAATATACTCAAAACGGGGAGGGATTTTTTCAGCGATCTCAAGATATACTCAGAACAAAATAACACGCAAGAGAGTAAGGGTTTAGGGTAGGGGTGAGAAAAAAAAGACTAATAAACCGAATGAAAAACCGAGGCATTACGAACCGACCCAGAGTGAACCATTAGTTTGGTTTTATATTTTTTGAAAAACAAATATTTTCTATTCATGCATGGTATTTAGTTCGTGAAACCGAAAATTTTATCGAATCGGACCGAAATGCTCCAAATTTCCAATGCATTCATCCTTCACTTTCGGAATCCATATTTCACTTTTCGTAACCTTACTCTCGTTAGTAGAACTTGTTAAATTTTACTACCATTACGAAGATTACGACATATTGTTCGAAAACAATAGTGGGATATTCAAATATTTTGAAGTGTAGTTAGACACGCAATTCGCACTAAATAGTGGCCATACATGCAATTCATACAAAATAAATATCCAGCATTTTAAAAACTAAATAATCATTAGATATTTATTAGTTTTTCTTGTACAATTCTGAATCTTGAATAGTTGAACTAATAGTTACTTCCTCTGTTACATAATAACCGTCTCTTTAAAAATATTTTATTCTATATTATTTATCACTTTAGATTTCCAATACTGCATTAATTACTTAATTTCCAGTTTATATCTTATTAACTCTTCGTAATACTCTTTTTTAATGTATTTCTAACTTTTATTTATTATAAGATAAGGTCAATTTTAGTTTAAAAGTTTACATTTTTATAAAATCAAGACACATTTAATAAAATTCTTTATCCGTATGCAAAGCTAAAAACTACTAATTAAAAGAGAATGGATGGAGTATTTGGAAACGAAAAATATATAAATTGAGCCCAATTTTAAGCTTATAATTCTTTGGAATACTTCACACTTTTCAGCCCAATATGCAGTTAAATCGATTCCATTATTTTGTCAAACATTTAGAGAGAGAGAGAGGAGAGAGAGAGCGCAAATTGAAATCGACAGCAAAAGCAAACTCGGAGGCCACTCGCCGCCGGCTCGCCACCGCTAGTCGACTGACGGAGAGTTCAAAATTAAGTGCTCGCGCTTCTGCAAAAGGTATTTTTCTCTTCCGTCGTCGTAAAGATCAATAACCCTAGAAATTCTGCTTTCAATCCTAAATAAACATATATCGAAGATAAACTAATCGATGATATAAGATTCGCAGGTTCTAATTCGTTTTAGCACGACTACTTTTATTATATATGTTTTTTATTATAATTTCCTTTTGCGAATTGCTATTGATGAATGGGGTTTATCAGATCGTATGAGTGGCATTGGCAACGGAAAATCCGAAGAAATTAGGGCATAATTCTGCATTCCTCAATGTAATTTTAATTTAATTGAAAATGATTTGAAAGTTCTATGACATGTGAGAGTAGCTATGAACTGTCCGTTTTCGAAGAATCCTCCCCTTTTCATGAAAATTCAAGGCTGGGCGCACTTTACTATGCCGAAGACTATGTTTTAAGATAGTACATAGAACAAATTGCTTCAATGGTTACACGTATTTTAAAAATGTTCCATAAAGTTTCCAGGATCATAGTAAAGATGCAATTAGTGTTTCGTATTGACTTACTTATGGGCATGGTCATTCGTAATATGCAATATGAAGAGCTTATCGAACTGTGTGATAGCCCAATTCTGCATTACACTTTGCCTTTAGATGTAGTACCTTTTGAATATTGTAGTCTTCTTGATCGTAAGTACATGCACGAGACTATTGCGTTCAGAAGTGTGATGGATGGGTGCAGATACGTAAAATTACCGTCGTTGCTTACAAAAAGACTAGGTAATAATATCCTTAAACATCTCCCTTCTGACTGAAATTCTTGTTATATGCTTCATTTTATATTTCTATATTGGCCGAGACCTTATCAATTAATAGCTCTGATGGTTTTTAGATCTTATCTTGTGCGTCTGGTTAATATTTGCATAGTTATATCAGCCTTCTTATTTTTATTAATGAGAAAAAAAAATAAAAACCTTGTTAACATGTAAGATGATTTAACCGAGAGTCAAAGCAAGTCTCCGGAATGCAAAATATAAAAGTAAATGAGACCAAAACCTTTATGTAGCCTTTATTTGTTAACGCATTTTCATCTATACATATTTGGCTTTTATTCGCATCAGGATGGGCACATATATTAGCTTCTATATTTCTCGTTGCAGTTGCCATGATATGGTAAGTAGTTAGAAGTAATCACCACTCTCTCTGGCTTCCTACCAGTGTTCAGCATGGACAAACTTGGGAACATGTTAGAATCGTTGACTAAATTTTTGTTTTCGTCTATGTAGTGATCATGCATACCACTAGAGACATGTTTGGCTGCTTCTTTTTTTTTTTTTGGTAATAATTTAAACGTAAAATAATGAAGACATGAATAGGGAGAAGGTCTAGAATATTAAACTATTAATTGAGTATTCTTCAACACTTCAATTTGTTATATAAGCTTGTTCTTTGTGTCCTCAATACTTGCAGAAATGGTTGCTCCAGAATTAGATTAGTTGTTTGATGTGTACATCACACTCATGAAATTTTCTGATATGCTCATGTTAGTTAAAATCGGGAGTAAAATTCGTAAAATTGTAGGATTTTACGATTTTACTATCCCATAACTTGCAAAAAAATATCTAAACAGGTAAATCATTCAGAATAGGTACTAAATCGGGAAGTCTGGATTTTTTAAGGATTGTACTTCTCAAATAAAATTGGGCTGAAATTCGTTTATTGGGCCTGATTGAAATATTTTTTTTCTCCAAAGCCTATGAGCCTAAATTGATTAATTGGCAGCGAATGAAAAGAAAAAAAACAAAACCTTATTCTGCCAAAAGAGAACGACCAGCAGCATCGACTCCCTTGAGAGGCGGTGCAAACAGCGGTAAACACCAGATGCCTAATTTCTGATTCTGTTCAAATTGTTTTTTCTTCATAAATCTGAGCAGCTCATCGTTTTAGCATGTTATTTCTTTTACAATTTATATAGAATTGCGATTCCAATTTTACATCCCCTCTCCGGTTCTGCTCAAATTCCTAATTTCGGATGCGAAGTTCGCGATCTGTATTTGGATGAAGATGAAATGGTTTACAATTTCCGATAGTTTTTGTTTTTTCTTATAATCAATGAATAATTGAACTCTTGCCACTAAAATCATTAAAACCAATTTTTTGATGTGGTGGTTTGTGCTTATAGGGTTGCTTTCTGTTTGGAGAGTCGCGAATTAATGAAATTGCTGCTGTTAATGACAAATGTATTCATCCCTGTTCTTGATTCTTCATAGCGCTATACTGGTTAACTGTTAAAAGTATTAAATTAGTTTTTTGACGTATTTGTGTGGACACTCGTTACCTTCGTCTGCAGATATTATAATGTACTCTACGCAATTATTGTATTTGCCGGTCAGATAATCTTACCATACACTGTCATAAATAGGTTGTTTCACCTCAAATGACTATGAAGGTGTTCTTTTTGGTACTGATATGAAATCTGCTCTTTTGCATTGGAATAATTTCTGCAGATATTTGAAGCGAATTACAATCATGGGTGAATCATTTACAATTCAAATAAGCAGCAATCTAGTCAAACACCTGGCCGATGATTCCGAGAAGGTAACTAGGAAAACAAGGAAGCCGAAGCAAAAGATTCCTCGAGAACCTAAACAACAGCAACCCCAGAAAGAACATCCTAAGCAGCAACTCTCCGATGAATCGAATACTTACAAAGCTCCCTCTTCAACTGGATGGCCTATTCAGCCACCTCCTCTATACCTCCCAGTTCCACCTCAGAAATCGGCAAACGTGGAATTAGATTCAATCTTATCCGTACTTAACGAGAGCGAGAAAGTTGTGGAGAAGTTGCAGAAGCAAGAGGAGAATATGCTGCAAGAGGTAACTCAACGAGCAAAGGAACTTCACGATAAAGAGTTTAAGCTCCCACATCGTAAGCTAATGCCCTGTTTGGATGAGAAAGATGCTTGTTTGAAGTGTTACAAGGAGCATATCAAGGATCCATTGAAATGCGCCCTATTCGTCGAGAATTATGCAGATTGTGCACGCAGGTTCAGGCAGCAAGTCAATGCGTCAGAGGGTAATTAGGTATTATCCTTCATTGGGAAAATTAATGGCCGGACAAAACTATTAGGCTTTGAAATATTTTTATCTTTTTTGTTGCGTATTAACGAACCTATATTCTCGCTTGTTTGTGGCAGCGGAGGCAAAGTTTCGATGGGTTTTTGCTTTGGTGAAAAATCTTCGAAGAGTTATTATTTTTTTTTTTCTTTTTCGAGATTCTGCATTGTTGCTGTTTCGTTTTCCTCTGGAGTTATTTGAGTGAAAAAATTGTCGGTACATAGGTAGTCCTATTTAGGATTACCAAAGTGACATTAACTAAACTTTGAATAAATTCATAACCTACCACCCTATTAACTCGATTAATGGATTTAAAGGCTTTTTTATTTTTTATTTATATATATATATATAGGTGTGCTATTTAATTTTTCTGCTGTTATACTGCACTTGTTTTAGGTTTTGCATTCATTGTTTTAGTCTATGGATATGCACTAAAGTTACTGGGTTCTTATTTCTTCACTGAATACAAAAAGAAAACAAATAATACAATTAGTTTAAGATAAAAAAAAAAATATTTAGAAAAGAAAGTTGGTTACATCAATTTTAATTATTATATTTTTTAGAGCAAATTACGGCCCCAAGGTAATCCATTATTACGAAAAAACCTCTCCAATTTGGATAATGACAAGTACTCATCAATTATGTATTGTCTTATGAAAAAACTCTAATTCAATAGATAAATTTGACACGGTAAGGATGGACATGTAAAACAAGACATAGTTGAGAAAGTGGTTATAATTACTCAAACACGAGAGAGGTTTTTGTAAGTGAGCATACTTCAGGGGGTGTCAATAATTTGTCCCCTTTTTAGACCAAATTCTATTTAGCCCCCTTTTTAGACCAAATTCTATTTAGCCCCCTTTTGCTCTAACTAGATCCCCCCGTTTAAGTGTAACATTTCATTATACACCCCATCCACACAAAAAAATGATACAACTTTTTGTTGTAGAAGAAGATAGAAACAAGTGATACAATTAACAATATAAGGGGTAAAGTGAGATCGAGTTAGCCGTGTTCTTTTTATATCAAATGAACCCTAGTCATTATAATTTTATCTCGTGTTTATACTCATTCGAAAAAAAATTAATAACTCATTTTCTTTTTTTAATTATTTTTCTTACAATTCTTGCTGACACGAAGTTCAGAAAGCATCCAGGTTTATTTTCTATGTTCAAATCCCGTATGTGTTGGGTGTAAGGGTGTAAGGGTGTGAACGAGCCGAGGTCGAGCTTGTCGAGCTTTTTTTTTTTTTTTGGCTCGAGCTCATTTTTGGTTTTTTTTTTTTTTTTTTTTTTTATTATTATTAAACAATTTTAGATTATAATAAAATAAATTCAAAATAAACAATAAACTATAATAAATAAATTTTTGGGTAAATTACAAACACCCCCCTGAGGTATGGTCAAATTACAAATACCCCCCTCTTGTTTAGATAATTACATCTACCCCCTCAACTATGATTTTTTCTTAGACCTCCACCTTTATGGTGCCAAATTCAACATAGTCATCTAGATTCCGTGAAATGTGCTCTAGTTTGTACTCA